AATTTTGTTTAATAATAATTAAGGGGTATAATTGAATCAATTTATGTATAAGTTTCATAATTTAAAAAAAAAACTTTCAGTATTGATGTGATATATTTTAAAAAATTAATAAATTTTCCTGTTTCAAGGTTTGAATTCCTAAAGTTTAAGTGAACATACCTCCTTAGTCAACAAACCAATTGTTTTTTTACTAGGTTAGAAAAGCTAGGGAAAGAGATTTCATGGAAAGAAAGAGCTACTCCTCCTATAGGCTATAATAATATAGCTAAAGCCCAATGGGTCTCTATCCTAGTGTAACAGAGGGCAAAAAGAAAAGTGAAGAAGAAGAAGAAGAAGGAGAAGAAAAAGAAACAAGAGCCGACAACATGAAAAAAGTACAAACAGTCCAATACTCGAGCCCATAAAATGAACGTCTTGTAGTTGCATAAGAGGCCGAGTAGCAAAATCCAGGTAGCACCCATCATCAAATATGTAAATGAACATTTAGCCTTACAAAATTATATGCTTTTACAACCACCTACAAAAGGTTTCAAGTCCTAACATTGAAAAGGAAATCTTGTTAATTACCTAACTTAGAAATCATTTTAACGGGCAATGGAAGTTGATAATTTCCTTGAACTTAATTAATTACTTTCAACCCAAACATATTATGATATTACTAAAGGATCCTAGAGATCCCATTCATCAAAACTAAATGTTTGCTTTGACTCTCTTGACAACTTAAAGAATAGCCTTTATAGCACCATAAAAATGTTAAAGTATCATGGTCATGAAGATCCTGTTCTTCATCGGTAAACATAGATGCCATGCATGTTGAAAACATCAAAGTAAAATTAACCAAACACTGGCCTGACATTGAAAAGAGGGTTCCAAAGTTTAGTCATGGTCAAAACTAGTAAAAGGGGGACAAACTCATAATCAAAGCCTCCTTTCTTCTTGTTTTACTTGAGATGATCATGACACCAGAGAAGCTTGAGACCTGGCACCAACTCCATTTTGTTTCATGGTTAGTATCCATCAAGCTTTTGACAAAATGGACTGGATATGGCTCAAAATTCAACAGCGTGTCCATGGCCTTACAATATGATGCCAAGTTCCATGCAAATCGTACACTCAACATTGCACGTGACCTAACTTTTGATAATTTTTTCTTGAAGTAATAGAATATATTACAATAGATGGGAATAGAATGGCCTCACCACACACCAAATTGCCATAGGGCACAATTTTAGTACTATGTTCTAGCGTTCACTGGAAATTTATGGGGATAGACAGCGTGATAACTACAATTGAAGGTCACATTTGATCGATTTCTTGTCCAAGAACTGAAATGATAGGTCTTTCCACCTAGCTGGGCTTAGAAAAACAAAACGCTAGAGTAACCTGCTGATGTTTGTCAATTATAAGAGGAAAGCAAGGGCCACCCACCTCTGCGACCCTCTCTCTATCCATTACGGAAACATAACAAGTTGTGTGGATGAGTGGAGGGCCGTCTCTGATTAAATTGCATAATGCCAAGATCCACAAGTAGACGACAAATGGTCAATTTGGCCTCTAGCATGAGTGGACCTAAACTCCCATTTGCTATAAACATTTTGTCACGATAAGCCTTGAATTCCGCGACCGATTGAACAAATTTAGACCATTGCAGTGCCTCCTAGGGAACCAATTCCAAATTTTAGTGATCTAAGCACCTGGTGCCATCTGCTAGTGGTCTAGCATGATCTATATGATTCTAGTAGTACTAGCTATAAGCTTTAACGTACATAAATTTGAACCTACTTTTTTGGTATAATTGGATGGTCACAGTTTCGTTGTTTGGAGTCTGGGGCTACTTTGCAGCTCTGGCCTTTAATATTATAGAGGGTTACCATTGTTCAGGTGATTCTATCTTCACAGATGCAGGAAAATTGTGACAATTATTATATCACTAAGTTAAAAAAAAAAGAAGTTAAATGCGATCAGTTTTTTACTATATATATATATATATTCTTAATTTACTGTGTTTAGCCTAATAAATTTACCATTTTACTCTTTCCTATCAGTAACAACTTGTTTTGCTAGGAGGGTAACTTGGTCTTTTTATAATTTTCATAATTGTTCAAACATCACTGTCAAGTTCACATGGATTATTATAATCATCTCATATTTTATATGGAGCCAAATTATTAAATTTTATTTTAAATTTTAATTTTAATTTTTTTATTTAATTTTATTATTGAATGTATAATTTTGATTTTTGATTTTTTCTAATTTGATCCTTGTTTTCTTAATTTTTTTATTTTGAATTTTTTAAATTTAATTTTTTATCTTTTTATTTAATTTAAAATTATAAATTGTCTTTTTATTTTCTAGAAGTTGGTATAAGAGTCAATTTAAAAGAAAAAACACCAAGTTACATATAGAGTTAATTCAAGTCAATAATTTTTTTTAATTTTAAAATTATAAATGATATCATTAAACAAAAAAAATAAAAAAATAATCAATAAATTTTTATTATTATTTTTTACTAGGTCAACTCTCTCCTCTTTTTTTTTAATTATTCACGCAATAATACTTTTGATTTGATGATAAATAATGAAAAGGTAAACTAAATCGATCGTGTAAAGTTCCCTTGAGTTATATCTTGTTTTAATTGCCATCGATAAACTAAAGCATCATCAAAACATGCGATGACTCCCGCGTATTATTCAACGGTTCCGATTGAGAGAAACTAATAAAAGATGTGCAAATCAAAACATTTTATAACTCTATAATTCAAGAATTGGCATGAAAAAAACAAATTGTTCAGAGGATATATCAATTCGAGGATTGTTATATTCGAATAAGACTGAATAAGTAGGTTATTTCACCTATTTCTCACCTGATATTTTCTCTCATTGAATGTTAATATAAATTTAGGTTTGGTTAGTATATTAAGATAAAATGAACAAATAGAAAATAAAAAAAATGATTGAATAAAAAAAGATAAATATATAACATAAATATTTTTTTTTCTCTTCATTATCTTTATTTCTTCTGCAATGAACAATAAAAATAAATAAAGATAAATAAAAACCTGTTTGGTTTAAAAAATAACTCACAAAGACATGAAATAATTTTATTTTTAAAATGCTTCCAATGCTAATCCATGTAATTTCAAAAGAATATGAATAGAAAAGGCATATTTTTTCTTGAATTCCAACTTACCATAACCTTAATAATAAACTAGTTACATCAATAAATAAATACTGGATTATGATTAAAAAAAAAGAGTTTTTTTTTTTTAATTCATGCTCTCACAATCTTCTGTTCTCGAAAACAGTATTCAATCACTACCTAACGGAACACTACCCAAAAGATACATGTTAGCAAATTTTTTCAAGTCTAAGATTGAGGGAAGGCGTAATTATTACAATGGACGCCAAACCTTTGAAGTCAGGAATTGTGTAATAAAGTTGAGAGGCCAATTAAGCAATAGCCCTCCAGCAAGCCCCGTAATCCGAGAACATTTTGTCTGGTAATCATTCGAAGCTTCGCTTTTCATATTGAAATCTGTAAACTAACCACAAAATAATTAACCTTTTTTACAAAGTGGTCATCTACGTCCAGGGCAAGGTGGAAGGAAAGTTCCTATAGGCGTTGTGAAATACAAATTCGAGCTTCCCTGTTTTTTCAGATTAAATTTCAGTAAGTTAATTCCTTTGTCCTCGTCTATTGACTCCTCCAAACTCATCATCGATCTCTCTCTCTCTGTTATTTTTTCCCTTTTTCTGTTTTCAAATGATTAATCCATCGATAGATAGTTTTTTCATTATTACAGGGTAGATAGACATCGGTATGTGTATTCATATTAATTCACATTAAAATTTATATATTATATAGATTAAAAAAAAAATATCAGACTCTCGGCTATGTTTAGATTTGATAAATATATCACATCCAATGTCATTTTATATGTAATTACTCATCAAATTCAAGCATCTTAAATTTAGCATATTACCTAGATTCATATGTTTTAAAAATAATTTCTGAATAAAATAAAAATATCTTATGTTAATTAAATTGATTGGGTTTTGTTATGGTAATATCTTATTCAAAAAAACTTGATGAAAGGTATATTCTAGAATATTCTAGAATTTTGAAACCTAACTTGTGGCAAGGCCGAATCTACCAGCTATACCCAGAACAATGAAATCAACATGCTAATTAATATCTCATATTTATCAAGGGCAGTGTTCTAATTAAGAATCATGAAGTTCTAGAATGAGTAGGCAAACACCAGTGATGAAAGATCTGATCTTTGCACGTGAACACGATAGAATCTAAATCTTAGCTTCTAATATATGCCCACATAAATTGCAGCAACATTTTTCATCGATCTTTTCACACCACTCTTCACGGAACGAACAGTAGCATTATTATCATCTTTCGGTAAACAAAATGATGTCAATTTTAAAAATCCACGACCCCACTCGCCTCTCATTACCGCTGTAATTATAAAACCAAAGCCATCGAGACCCACTAGCTAAAATGATCAAAGTAATAAAAAGTATGCATTAATTGAATATAGTTTAATTTCCTAGTAATTCTTTCCATATTCATAAAACAAAACTCCATCACTTTTTGTTCCTCCCTTCCTTCTTAAGAAAAATATTGTATTGCTTGCTACAACGAGCACTCATCCTCAGGAAATTTCTTCCAAGAAATGCAAGATATTATTTTCTTTTACAAGAGGGGAAAAACAAGAATAATTTCTCCCAAAAGCAATCCCCACCCAAGACCCCTCTAATTTTATGCATTATTTTCTCCAATAATATAGGTACACCAAGCCACCAAGTTTTTCTAGTTTTTTAATACTTGGATAGCAATCATAGAGCCATAAATATTTGAATCTATCTTCCTCTGTACATTTTCTCTACAATAAAGTATTGTTGGCCTAAATTAGTTCTCGTTAGTGCATGTATAAATGTTAAAGTAACCAAACATATAAAATTAATATTATAATTATAAACTATAAATAAATGTATAAAATTGTTATTTATAGCTTGTACCAAGTAATCTTCTTCCTCCTCCTCTTCTTCACTAAGACTAGTGTCTTTCAAGTTCTAACCCATTTATTTTATGTACACAAATACAGAAATTAAAAAGAACAAAAAATTTAACTAAGCTAACTTTTTTTCACGTGCCACCTGCCACACGTGCGGGTTAGAACTCGGACACCTTCCTATGACAATCCGAAGATGGTGACGGAGGCATTGACGGACGTGGCGCCCTTAAATCTTCAAAATACTTCCTTATATCAACCCCCCCTGTCGTTACCGTCAACTCCCCGTCCTCTCTTGACGGAATAAACGGCGGTCTTAATACTTCTGTTAATAGGTCCCACCTAACACCTTTAAAAAACCCATGCTCTTTAATCTCACAAGCGCCACGTTGATACCCCAACCTCTGTGTGGGGTCCTTCTCTAACAGCCGTTCAATCAAGTCCGTTAAATCGTTTCGGTTCCCCACAAACTCCGGCCTCTTCAACAAAACGTTTCGAAACGTTTCCTTTCGGTTCTTCCCCTTGAACGGCGTCTTCCCGTACAACATCTCGTAGCTCAAAATCCCAAGAGCCCACCAATCAACGGCGAACTCGTGTCCGTCCCCTCTTACAACCTCCGGCGAGACATATTCCTCTGTGCCCACGAAAGAATTGGATCGTTCTCCGTTGTTGAAACTCAGTTTTCTCCGACTCACTGGACTAACTCGTGCCGATTTTGCCTTCTTTAACCCGTTCTTCTTTGGTTGATTATCATTAACAAACCACCACCTCGTCAAGTGCCTCCTATGTTGTTGTTGCAACTTCTTTTGAGGTTGTTCAATTCTGTTGCCGGTGATTAAATGACAGCTGGTCGCGGCGGCGTTACTGATAAGATTTCTTACCGTTTTCTTCGTTAACGTACGAGAAAGATCAAAGTCTGTCAGAGTCACATGACCAGAATGTTGTATCAGGATGTTTTCAGGCTTTAAGTCCCGGAAAACAATGCCCATTTCGTGGAGGTGATCAAGGGCACAGACAATTTCAGCTAAATAAAAGCGGATTACAGCAGGGGAGAAAACGTGGTCGTTTTGGCGGTGGCGGAGGACATTAAGGTCACCACCAGGACAAAAGGGGACAGCCCATGCAAGGAATTCTTGAGTTTCAACGGAGGAAATGAGGTGAGGGAGAAATGGGTGGGCTGTTTTTGGGGTGGATAATTGGTTCAGAACTTGGATCTCCCACAGTGCACGGCGCTCGGCGTCAAACTTGGTGTGGAGTGTGGATTTTTCCACTACTTTGAGGGCAAAGGGGTTCTTGGCTATTGGGTCGGTTTCTTGATTATGGACAAGAAAAACTGTCCCCATGGCTCCTTTGCCTAGGACTTTGATGGCTCTAATGCTGTCAAAGACTAAGTCTTTTTGGTGTTGTTGGTCTTCCGGCGGTGGTGGTGGAGGAAGAAGCGGTGGTTTTTGTGATGACGATAGAGGTGGTGGAGATAGTGATGGCTCCATGTTTAGAGAGGGAGAGAGGATTCTGAGGGTGCAATGGACAGCTAAAATTTGGGTTTTATAGATAGTTTTTTTTGTTTTTATATATTTGGGTTGTGGCTGTTTTACCCTTTTTAAGTGATAGGGATTTATGAGAGTATATTTACTATTTTGTACACCATGGGTGTGGATTAACATGCTGATTGTCCAGGCTAATTTGGGAAAGAAGAAAACAGAAGTAGATTTATTGGGTTCTGCTACAGCTTCTGTACTATCTTTGTGGCTGTTTACTTTATAGCTGGCATTCTCTTTGCTATGTAAGGGTTTTGGGCCACTAGGGTTGAAGCTTTCTGTTCTCATGGTGGAAATCGCTACCTTAATGGTAGAATTTCTTAATTTTATGGTTTTGAAGAAATTAAGATTAATTGATACTCGTAAGTCGTACCCACATATATCCTCTCTTTTTTTTTTAATTCAAGCTCGTGGAGAAATATAGAAAACTACAAATTTGTCAGTGACAAAGATTATAATGTTTAAAACATAGTTATAAAATTAAGTTTGGATTATTATTTGACATAAAATCCAGATTCTTGATGGTCATTTAGCATGAATATATCATTTTTTCCTAACCAAAAAACATATCATTTTTTTTTTTTTTTTTTTTTAATATAATGCTGATGTTTTGATAATTCAATATAGTTCATGCTTTAAGTTGATGGATTATTTAGTTAATTCATCAAGACAGGTTTTACATCTATGTTTTTAAGGATCGAGTTTGTTCGCATGTGTAAGTCTGTTAGACAGGTGATTATAGAAGCATATCCAGCAATTTCTACGGTAAGTATTATACTTCCTTGATGAATGTTAATTTCATTTTTAATTTAGGATTGAGTCATCTAAATAGTTTAATCAAAGGACACTGATCAATTACTTTATTTGTAGGAATAAAAAGACTTTTAAAACTAGGCGAGTAAACTATGTACATTTTGTAAATTATGTCTTTGGGTGCATGTAAGAAAAATTCAAAGGCAATAGAAGCAACACACTTTGTAAAATAGTTTAATATATATATATATATATATATATATATATATTCACTAGATATATT